GTATTTCTATCACCTTGAGTAAAGTGAGTTTCCCCCTCCTTTTGTTGAAACATCTCCTTATCAGCATAGATTTTATTGTTTTGGTTCAATAGGTCATCTAATTATTTTTATTTGTTAAAATTTCATCCATTTCACACTATTAAATTTTTATGTTAATCAGCTTCTCTTCTAAGTTAGATACAAACACAACCTATTAAGATTTATATTTAATGTAGGGTTCGTGTAAATAGAAGTCTATAGACTTATTTGTAAATGTTGTAAGGCTTTAAAAAAGTTGAAGTGTTAATGAAATGCGTAAGTTCTATTTTTTTACAAAATAATTCTTTTTGGTATCAGAGCTAAACCTAGCTGAGATCTGCATATACATGCAGAGACGAGACGTGAAGCTGTTGCGGAGAAGAGGCGATTAGAGCTACCTAGGACGACGACGATGGGTGTGAAGAATTGCATGGAAGGGTCGCGATATAGCCGTGCCTACAGCTAACTGGGACGACAACGCGATCAAAGCTGCTGGGACGGAAACGACTCATATTACAGTTGCAATCGGAGCTAAGCAGGGAGGATGTGATAGGATCACCATGCTACAATCACGATTAGAGTTAATTGTGAAGGCACCGAGGAGATTGTGACGAGGAACAGGCGACACAGACGTCTGATTGGAGTTGGAGTTCACTGTGAGTCGTGATCGGGCTCTTTTAGCGAAACCTAAGAAATGGGAGTTGGTTTTGGGAGTCTTCTGCGGTCGACTTGTGCTCTGGGCAGGAAGTTACATGCAAGGCGAAGCTTTATTTATTTATTGTTTTTGTTTAGAGGAACGTCAGGATAATTTCATGTGAGGATGTCAACAAAAAAAGATGGTGCAAGATGTAAAGAATTGGAACTTCTGGATAAGATAGATCCTGCAAATCTGAAGGTCTTGCTCTGGCTCATACAGGGAGATAGCGTCTCGATGCGATCGACTACCTCAACACATGCTCCGACGCATGTGAAACTTGATATACCTCCTGTGAATCTGAAGCTCGATGGACTGACCGCCTATCTGAGTTGGTCACGTCGAATCGGAGGCTGCTCTGTCCGGAAGAGATTAGAAGGATACATGATGGAGGTTGACCAAAGAGTGCCAGTGTTAAGGGGGATGAGTGGAGGACCACACATGCATTGATTTACACCTGGCGGCTACTTAATTTGATGGTTTGATGGTTCCATCGATTTTAACATCAATTGATGGCATTTGGAAGGTTAATGACAACTAGGCAAAGCTGAAGAAAACCTATGTTGAGACTGAGAACCACATGAGGGTGTTTCAGATTCAACTTGACATAGAGACGGTAGTACAAGATGATAGATCAATTTAGGAGTACTCCATAGAGCTGTAGCGGTTATGGCAAGATCTTATTCACTTGTTGCCTATATCAAGTTGTGATGATCGAGAATGTAAGATGGGGGGGATCTTTGCACAGATAAAGGATTATGCAATTTCTGGCTCATTTGAACCCGGTCTTTGATCGGAGGAGATCTGTCTTCCTAGCCCAAGCAACAATTTCTTCACTAGATGAGGCCATCACCACGATGTTGAAGGAGAGTCGCATGAGGCTATACTTAGAGCCGAGTGGACTTTCAAGTACACGATCTGCTTTGGCTGCCTCGAGCTCAGGCATGGCAGGTGCGTAGGGGGTGACTCGTAGGTGCTAGAACTATGGAGGAGTGAGACACCTGAGCAAGGCTTCGTCGAAAGCCGCCTAAGGAAAGAGAAACGGGTGAAGCTGGACATTCTAGAAACTGTAGTCATAATCGTGAGGGCCAAAGGGGTGGACGAGGGAGTCACTGAGCAAATCTGATGGTAGCGGAGGACAAGGGAGAGATTGGGGTGGTCTTTACTGATGAAAATCACGAGCTTTTAGAGATGTTGAAGAGGAAGTAGAGATCGACGGGTGATATAACTGAGGATGTTCCCACTATATTGTCATCCAAGGGGAATATTGATATTTATGCCCACTCAGTCAAAGGTACTCGTGATACACATGTTATTGTCTCTATTTCCACCACAAAATCACTCTATACATGTGATAGGTGCTGCTATTGAGTTCTCTTCATATACTCACCTAGCAATCCCAAGAGCATTCAGACCACTGATGGCATAACACTGTCTGTTGTTGGTAAGGGTACCGTGAGATGTGTCAATTCTATCTTGTATGCGCCTGTAGATGTGACTTTTAGAGAGTTTTAACCATACTATACCTTGGAGGTGACCTCACCCTTTGGTTACTCGTCAGTTGTTGGAGGTATGAGGTGAGAGGGGGGAGTAGTGATGTTGAAAGATTGACACATGTGGGAACGATGCATTATCTTGTTTTGTTGGAAGGATCGACTAAGGAAGGGCTAGAAAATGAGCCCGAAGGTAGTTGGAGGGAGTTGAGGGTATATACAAGGAGAAAAAGGCAGAATGAGGGAATAGTGTTTGTCGTGCCACTTCTACCAACAAGTCCTTTATCTCAGTCTACTCCAACTCTTAGAACATCTACACTATCCACTTCAGAATCCGATTACACATGTTATATGATTCCTCTCTTATCCTCCTACTCCCATAATTTTGAGGAGGATCTCTCGCAGCAATGCAGGTCATCCTCGTAATCGTTATTCTCCTAATCATTTTTGCTTCTCATTTTACATTGCTCAGTTTGTCTCATACTCTAACATATCACTTTTACATAGAGAATTTATTGCATATTTGGACACTGCCTCTAGACCCAATTGTTGGCAGGTAGCTTAGAAGAATCCAAAGTGGAAGGCTGCAATGCTCGAGGAACTTGGTGCTCTCGACATGAACAGGACATGGGAGTTTGTGTTGCTACCAGCAAGTAAAAAACTCGAGGAACTTGGTGCTCTCGACATGAACAGTACATGGGAGTTTGTGTTGCTACCAGCAAGTAAAAAAATCAGTTAGGTGCAAATGGGTCTTCACAGTGAAAGATCGATGTCTACAATGTACGGTTGGTGGCGAAATGGTATAATCAGACGTATAACTCGATGAGACATTTGCACTAATGCTAAAGATGAGCACAGTCATGACACGTGTCTCTTTAGTTGTGAATAGTGGATGGAGTTTACATCAATTGGAATGTTTCTTCATTGGGATCTATTATAGGAGGTGTACATGGAGGTATCCCTAGGCTTCGACACGAACCAATAGTGGGCAAGGTATGTAGATTGAGAAAGTTGTATGGTTTGAGATAGACTCTTTGAGCTTGGTTTGACAATTTCAGGAAAACAATGACAAGCATGGGTTATTAGCAGATTAATGTTGAACACGCAATATTCTTTCGACGAAAGGGTGGTCACATTACTATTCTTGTTGTTTATGTGGATGATATGATTGTCATTGGGGATGATGAGGGAAAGATTGCTCAACTGAAGGCAAGTTTGGGTTCAGAGTTTGAGGTGAAGGACCTGGGACGGCTTAGATACTTACTCGGAATTGAGGTGGTCGCGGAGCAAAGATGATTGTTCTATCTCAAAAGAAGTATGTGCTTGAGTTGCTCAAAGAGACAAGCATGTTGAGATGCAAGCTTGCAGTTTCACCAATTAATCAAAAGGAAAAATTGAGCGTAGAGACAATGGCCAGTTGATCGTGAGAGGTATCAGGTTGGTAGGTCATCTCATCCATCTGAGTTGCACTCGTCCCAACATATTATTTGCAATAAGTATGGTGATTCACTACATGCATGATCCGAGAAATGGTCACTTGAATGCAGTATATCAGATTTTGTGGTACATGAAGAGTGCACTAAGCATTGAGGGCTATTGTGACTTAGGCTGGGTGAGCTGTATGGATGACAGGAAGTCAATGTCTGGATATTGCATGTTTGTAGGGGGCAACTTGTTCTCTTGGAAGAGCAAGAAATAGTCAGTAGTAGCAAGGTCAACAACAGAGGCAAAGCATATGCCATGGCTTTAGCAGTTGCTGAGATGATGTGTGGCTGAGAGCCTTGTTGGTAGTGCTCAAGATGGACCAAGGAGCTAAAATGAAATTGTGGTGCGACAACAAGTCTGTGATCAGCATTGCCAACAACCCAATGCAACATGATAGAGCCAAACATGTGAAGATTGATAGGTTCTTCTTCAAGGAAAAACTGAATAACAGTCTACTGGAGCTAAGTCATGTAGGCAATAGAGAACAAGTGGTTGACTACCTCGCCAAAGGATTTGCTCACTAGATTTGTCTAAGTTCTGAGACAAAATGAGCTTAGTGGATATCTTTTGCCTATCTTGAGGGGGA